GGACATATAAGAAGTCTAAATAAGTAATTTCTCCGGAGGATAAGGAAACATAATGCAAGTTAGTATTGAGAGAAAAAAACACAAGTGGGGAGTCAGAAATTCTGAAGAAAAAAACAAACGGATTATCCGCTTAAAATGATTTTTTTAAAAAAAAAAAAAAAAGATCCTCTTCTGCAGGTTGAATAATTGTTAGCTTAAATTTGCCGATTTCTTGACTTGTATAGCTAATCTGTTGAAAAATATAATCTTTGAGTAGGTTGATACGGACTGTGCGGTTGCAATCTGCAACAAATACATCTTATCTAAAATTAACATGTTTAAAAGCTCGACATGGCAGATAATATTTGCTTAAACCTAGGAAACTAGAGCTGGAGTGAGATTTTATTAGGTCTAGCAGTATTAGATAGATATATACAATGTAGTACTAGATAATTGCACGTAATATACAGACAAAATTATTTTAAAATTTTAGGAATAAGAAATACAATTTTCATCAAATCACTGACATCCGTATTCAGAATTTATTTAACATACACATGTGTAATGGCCTTATCGATTCGAATAGTATCACAATGTACATACAATGTACATTGTATGTAAATCAAAGATTTATGAAGAAAGTGTGCATTGACTGGAAAATAAAAGAAACTATAACAGAGTAATATTAAGCATTTTTGCATATATTATTTAATTCTATGCAGTTCTCTTTAAGAATTTTCTGAGACTTTCACTTGGCATACTCAAAACACATATACAAATTCATTCACTTTGTCAATTGTGGGATGAAGTCATCGTCACAAACCACGGCCAAAATTTACAAGAGCTATATGTGGACTCCGGACCGTGGCTTTAAACGATGGGATGAAGTACATGTATGCTCGTCATATTTCTTGACATTACAGACACAATGTTTGTGAAACATTAAAAAACTATAAACTATCGGCCTTAAGTTTTTGTCATGATTATATTATTTCGAGGTCAAAAGATTTTTTTTTGGGGGGGGGGGGGGGTTTATGAAAATAGAGGCGTAAGGTCTTTGCATAGTAAGATTTAAATTGCTCATCCATGCATGAGAAAGAAAATACGTTCAGATTCTTTGATAAAAGAGTCTTTTTCTACTTATATCTTCCACTTAAACTGCAGAAAAAATATTTAAAAATTAACCAGGCATATTATTACGTGAATTACTAGTTCTAGTTTATCATCTTATTTTATCGATATACATGTAATAAAGTTTGGGCTTAAAAGTAAGATCTATGTAAATTTTTAAACAAATACAATTGACCATTTAAGACCAGACAACCTTAAGCCTTTTATGACAAGATTTATTGACATAGAGCTGTCAAGAATTCTAAGATTGTTAACTTCTACATTCCCCTGAATTACCCCAAACAAACTTTAATTTCCCTTCTGTATGAAATCACAGGAGCGTGCGCCATTTTCAAATCTTAAGGTTCGATGTTACCTTTTGAATTTGTTTATTTGCTGAATTTATGAAAACAACACGTGCTTTCCTTGTTCATACGCGAATAAAATGTTGCAACAATTGAAAAAAAAAAAACCATAATCCGCTTAAGTGGGTGATTTTTTTTTCGACACAATTACATTGTGCTTGTACCTTCGGAATTCCTCGAGAACAGGTTAAAGAAATCCTCGGCATTATCATGAGACACAGATAGGGGTAATCAGCAAGTTGAATGTTCGATGGTATAATACGATGGTAAAACATTGTTCTATTGATTTTAATAACCAGGATTTAATTTAATTTAATAAAACAAATGAACCGTAAAAAGCTGGTAAATCAAATGTGTCATTTCTGTTGATCTTGCAATCTGTTTATGTTTTGAAAGAAAAATGTTTATACCGTTTCTACTCTGAAATAGAAATATTTTATATTATAATTTCATTGTTTTTCTCAAATTCTTTCGTGTGAAAACTTTCAAATGCTGAAATGTTCTGATGCTATTTTGCTGCGTTGCAAGGACGCCGCAGCACCATAGTGTTAGTTATATATTTATCATGTAATGAATGTATGTTTAAAACAAACATGTTTGTATATCAATCTTTTTGTTTTCTACATATAGACCTTAACAGTTGTAGCCATTTATGGTGAGAACCTCGTAAGTTGTTAGAACTTGTGTTCAAACCATTTGTATATTATTTATACAATAAAAAAAAATATGTTCAAACGACCATAGTGTTTGGCAATGTCTCTCCCAATAGTAACATGGATCTCCATTCAGTCCCGACTTCCCTTCCATGTTTTACTAACAGCCTAAATACCCAGGGTTCAGAAAGTAGGTACAATGGTGGGTACACGTATAATAAAAACATATCAAAATAAAACCTTTATCAACTTATTCCATAACATGCTGAGTGTCCCCTGGGATATTGTAGGTTCATTCACATTTAATTACAACCTTTAAACAGCTGTTGAATACCTGTTCACAGGTAGAAGACACGTGATATCAGGTAAGGGAATTCAATGTTTGCAAACATTATTAAAGTTATCAGAGTTGAGGGAGTTTAAATGTTTAGATTTATTACCTGCGTGGAGCAAACGTGAGTTGTGATAGTTTTCATAACAAATATTGTTTATATCGGAACAGCTGATTTAGGAGACTCTCCATATACTCTACGGAAAAATTAAGTTCATGCATACTAATTTAATGAGGAGGATTTCTTGATTTTCCCAAATAAAGGTAAATCAATTCAATTTAAAATTTATTCGTGGGACATTTTCTAATACATCTGATATAGACTAAGTGTACTTTTACCCCAGCCTTGTTGTTAAAAAATCAAATAATACCAAAACTTTTCACATGGAAAAGGGGTGGGGGGTGGGTGGGAGGTGAATGGGTGGGCAGTTTTTTTCCGTCGAGAAAAGGGGAACATCCTAGTCAACAACTTCCATAAAAATAATATTTTATAAGAAAACTTAATGAAGTATAAAATACAATGTAATAAAAAAAAAGTAAAAATCCTATTTTGTTGGATGGGGATAGGGTGGGAGTTTGATTCAGAACACTTGGTCGTCTAAGATCTATCAGAATGCTCACATTAATGTAGGGGAAGGGTTCATAGCCATGTTAGTTTACTACATGTATTGAAATCTAACAGCATTGAAAATCCAAGGGGCTACAGGCATCCCCCTTCTGCAGAAAAAAGCTATATCGCCCCTTGTTAAAGGTGCTAGTATTCACATTTTGTTAACGGTTTACAATAGGGGCAGAAAAAAATGTTGTTTTAAAGGAGAACTTTTCTTTAAAAAAAAAAGAGAATGCATCCTCCATTTGCTATCCAGAGTTTCATGGGCATAACAAAAAGTGTGGATTTGTGCAAAATCAAGGTTGAGTTTTGTTTGTCTGTTTGTTTGTTTGTTTAACGTACCTCTAGAGAAGTTTTCACTCATACGGAGACGCCACCACTTGACGGTGGAGAGCTGCAAATTTTTAACCTATACTCGGCACTCAGGGCCATTGAGTAGTGAGGGATCTTTTTCGTGCCAACATCTACTGCGATATGTGACCTCGGTTTACACGGTCTCATCTGAAGGACCGGTCTCCACGTCCCACAGTGGGATTCGAACCTGCGACGTAAGGATCAACTCCTTACTCCGCGACTCTAGAGCGAACGCTCTAACCACTGCGCCACGCGGGCGACGAGAAAATTATAGTTGACATATCATTGTAAGCTTATTCCTCTGAATTATGAAATAAAGGTTTACGCAGTGTAATAAAATTTAATGTCTTGGTGAAAATGATGAGTCAAAAATAACCAAGAACATTTCTTGTCCAAAGGTTCTACAATTTTGCTTTGAATGTTACCTATTCAGCAAAAACTTTAAAAAAAAATTCGGTTAAATACTTTGTTCAAAGAGAGCATTATAAAACAGGTGAGCAATTAACCACTGAGAAGATTAATATAAAGTATGACAACTTCAATATGTTTATAATTGCTTCTAATATACATGTCTTGACAAAACAGACTCTGATCATAGATGTATTAAGGTTTTTTAACGTTTCTTTCCTTACTTCAAATTTATCCGCCATGGTTACATTCGGAACCCTTTGAAATTTTCATAATAGATGCATAAAGATTAGAATTATCCGCCCTCGTTTGTTTTGCAACATTGCCAATACAATGAACGTATTCCATTGTTAAAGGGTGTCCGTACGACACATCAATTTAATGATAGAAAATTCTATCTCGATAAACTTAACAGACGACGTGCTGACCCCTCCACCCCACTCTTTTTTTTCAAATTTTATATCTCTTAACGAAAAATAATGAAATTAACGTCTTAAATGAATAATTTCCCAGTGACATCAATATTCAAGTATAAAGCAAAGGCAGTGTCGTGTTTCACTTTTATTACCGTTTATAAATCTCAATGGTATTATAAAATTCTATAGATATGAAACTAAATCGTGTAAACAAACAAGTGGTTCTCAACATGTATATATACCGGTATATCGTTTCTTACCGAAATTCATTGCAGTATCGAATAGTCAGGGAGGTCATTCGGCAAACCTCGGATGGTTCCCCTAGTGTCAGGAAGGTGTAGCTATTTAGTTTTCCGAGCATTGTATGAAGGATTTCAAACGTTGCGGTGGTTTTATCATCGGAAACCGACACTCCTCCTTTCATCTATAAGGTGATCTAGAAGGTTTTTACAAGTGATTTTGTACAAGATAGATCTGATATATTCCTCAAATGTTTTAAATATTAAAGCATTTCCCAGTTACCTTTACTGCTGATGTGTATTTTTGTTTTCTTTCAAATGCGGATAAAGACTCTTTCAAATATCAGCCCTCTTTCTACCTCGATCTTACATAAGATTAGTACAAGTTTGAAGTTCTCCAAATGTCGACTTTCAGGGGGAAAAAAACGTACTTCGTCATCGAATAAAAGATTGCTGCCGCGTGCCTTTAAAAGATGCTAGTTTATACAATGTTTTTTTTTAATTTCTCCTGTTTAAATTTATTTCAGACACCTTGTTATCGTGACGATGTCTACAGACACCAATGAGCAGTGTGGGGCGGGTTGTTTCAGACCCTCCTTCCTACAGCGGTGCGCGAGAGTCGGGGTTTTTGTGGCTCTCTATAGCCCGGCCTCACTCTGTACCTCTGCCATTTCCGTGTACATGTCCTCCCAAATCACCACTCTGGAAAAACAGTTTGGCTTCACTAGCACTCAGAGCGGATTCCTCATGAGCTGTAACGACATTGGTTTTCTACTTACAACGATCTTCGTCGCCCATCTTGCAAGAAATGTCCACATTCCCAGATCCCTTTTCTTTTCCACATTTTTGTTCGGAATTTCCGGGATCTTCTGCTCTCTGGCATACTTCCTCGCACCTGACAATCAGGAAGAACAAAATCTTGGTTCTTCCAATTCTTCCTCGGAAAAATCTAATTTGTTTCAAAATTTCCACCATCAGCTTTGCTCACAGTCGAACAATACTCCCGCAGAAAGCTGTGATCCCAAAATGGTTAAGATTGGTGCACCAACAGAATTTACCACAGTGGCTATCGTTATTATTGCCGCAGGGATGATGGTACAGGGGTTTGGGAAAGCCCCCAGACAGCCCTACATTATTACTTACATAGACGACAATGTACCCAAACGGAAGACCGCCTGCTATATAGGTAAGAGAATGTTACTTTGGCTCCTGCTGGCAGGACAAAAACAAAATCAAATTTTCACCATTAATTCGTGGCCATAACATAACAAATGTAGACATGATGCGATTTAAAAAAAAAATCAAAAAATGTTTTAGTAATAAGAGTGTAGTATTTCAGGCTCTAGGTGGTTTCTATTTGATCAATATTTTTTGCCATAATGTTCTTGAAAACGTCTCTTGAAAAACGATGTTTTGCACTTCTCTGTTTCTAAGTCGTGATGAGAGAAATTACAAATATTTTTGATTCAGAATATTAACCGAACTTTTCAGCTAACAAACAATGCCTGTATACAAGAAGGTAAGGTTATGAGTGCTATAAAGCTGTGGGTATATGCATGCAGCATGTGGCATTTTTTTGGTAATTTTGGTTTTCTTTACGCCATTTACACACTGTTTTGTGACTATAATCACGCCTGTCCTTTGTACTAATTTAGGGGAGTTTTGTGTTTTTTTTTATAATAGTCAGTAAAATGTTTCGTTTGTACAATGTATCGCAGTTTCCATGCATGTTCTGTGTCACAGGCACTTGTTTCTGTAATTAAAAAAAAACCTCTATAGTGTAATAATAACACAAGATGTCTATATGATTGAAGTACCCTTCTCCCATACATTGTACTTCATGGCATAAGACGGATTTTCCAGCCGGTGAGCAGAGTTTAAACGCTGTTTTTGGATAGAAAAGAAAATTAAGATAAGAATGTCGTACATGTATATGGTTTGTAGATAAATTATCGTAGGAGAGAAGAAAATAAACAGTTTTGCCTATACCGGTATTTACTCTAAAAAGTGTAAATAACAGCGATTCATGGGATGGGGTTTCTCTATATTATTCGGAGTTAGATTCCTTGTGTTATTCTTATACTATGGGGTAAAAAATTATTACAGAAACAAGTGCCCGTTTTCTGAGCCTGTCAACGGTGTCCTATATTTGTAGGTATAATCATGGCGGTGGGAATTTTTGGGCCTGGGCTGGGCTTTGGTCTCGGGGCTCTTTTTAGTCAAATGCATGTCACACTGCAAGGTAAGACTTAAATAAGATTAAAACAAATATAATGTTTAAAGGATGACTGCACTTAAGGACATGCGGAATTTGCAATTCCGTATCTAATGTTCAATCAAGGGCAGGTAAATGTAAATTCTCTATTTTTGGAAAGCAGTAAGGACAAAAAACATTGAATCATTTTATTGTATCACAGTTTAAAATCATTAATTTTGGTTCCAAATTGACAGGATTCTTTCATAGATATACAAAAGTGAAATAAGATTTTGATATAAAAGCAACAGAGGCAACCGAAAAAGACCCAAAAACCGGCGTTAAGTGCAGTCATCCTTTGGTTTCAAATTGACAAATATTTTGACAAAGACGAATATTGTTAAAGCTTTCTCAGTCGCCTCGATTGAAACGTTTCTTCGGATTCATAAATCCTTATATACATGTATTACACTCAACTAAAGTCAATAATTATATAACAAAAAAAATCTTTAAAAAAAGTACATATAATCGTTTGAAGTTTAAAACTCAATTAACTATTGTAGTAATAAGTACAATTCTTATCATTTGGATTCTCCTGCTAACTATCACGGTTTGCTATCATTGTCTATAGAGGTTAGGATCAGTGTACGGGATCCCCGATGGATTGGGGCATGGTGGCTGGGGTTCATTGTGTTTGGGGCGCTAGCTGTTATCGTGTCCATTCCCCTAATGTGTTTCCCGAAAAGGATGCCGGGAAGAAAACAGAGGGCGTTATCAAAGAAAGCGGAAGCTGAGTCGTCCCCAAAAAGTGGATTTAGGGAGGGCGCAAAGGGTAAGATGCGATGAAGTTTCAGATTCTAATTTTGTCTAGTCCGCCAAAAATTTACAAACCGTTAGACACGTAAAAAAATAATAAAACGAAACAATAAATATGATTGCCATAGTACATGTTATGTTGTAAAAAATGTAAGTATCGGGGATGGACAAACAAAAGACTTTATAAATGGAATAACTTTGCCAAGTGATCATGCTTATTGTAATGATAATATTTTTTTGTATTCTATTATTTAGACCTGATAAGGAAGATAATCCGGATCCTGTCTAACGCCCGATTTACGCTGAATCTGTTGGGGACGTGCCTGGTTCTATTTCTTGTCGGGGGTTTCCTTGCCTTTACACCGAAATACTTGGAGACTCAGTTTTTTGTTCCAGCATACTACGCCAATGCTTTACTAGGTAATTACAGAAATACTCGCAATTAAAATTGAAATTTGATGCAATTTTTTCTCGTTCTCATACATATTCAAAAATATTATTTTTTGAAAGATTTTCATGCAGTTATGACTTTCATTTGAATTCTATACGCATGTTTTATAACTTACTTTATCTTTATACGACCCGTAGGGAGGAGGTTGGGGCACTACAAAACGACAAATAATTTTTGAGAAGCAAAAAAAAAAAAAAAAAAAAAAAAAAAAAAAAAGTCATCAGCCATGTCATCAGCCATGTATAATTATTCACGAGCCACATCCACAAAGTTGCTGCAATAATGTAGCCCTCTCCGATTTTTTTTTTTAATCTGAAATTTTCTGGAGAGGGTTACCATTCCACAGCATCTCCGTAATGGTGCAAATATATTTTTTAAATACGGGCGACTGCAGGCAAAATAAATTGTGTTTACATTCAACTTACTTCTAATAAGACGAAATTTTTATTCACTGTCAACAACATAGCCCTCAAAACGCGAAAACTAGGTAAATTAAATCTGTGTGTTTACCAGTCGTTCTCCTCAGCAGCCGTGCATGACAGTTTTCGCGTGATGTACTGAGACTTGCGCTTGAATAACTTGATAAAGCAAATGTCGGTGTTGATAAACTTGAATGATTGTATTATAAGGTATCACTAAACATCGATAAATAAAACCATTCCATATGATATTTTATTCGTAAACAGCGATATTTATGCTTAAAATAAGGGAATTTATGGAACGCCACAGCTGTCTTAAGGGTACAATATATGCATAATAGTGTCAATTCGATATAACATTAAGTCTATCCTTTATATCATTAAGTCCATTTTATATAATATGTAGGCTTTTCTTTATATCATTAAGTTTATATATTATGCAGCCTATTCTTCATATCATTAAGTCCACTTTATATATTATGTAGTCTATTCTTTATATCATTAAGTTCACTTTATATATTATGCAGTCTATTCTTCATATCATTAAGTCCACTTTATATATTATGTAGTCTATTCTTTATATTATTAAGTCCACTTTATATATTTTGTAGTCTATTCTTTATATCATTAAGTCCACTTTATATATATTATGTACTCTATTCTTTATGTCTTTAAGTCCACTTTATATATTATTTAGTCTATTCTTTATATCATCAAGTCCACTTTATATATTATGTACTCTATCCTTTATATCATCAACCCACTTTATATACTAAGTAATATGTAGTATAGAAGCTATACCATGCTGACAAATCAATGTACTATAAAGTCGGATGCATATAGCATCCAGTCAAAATACAAGATTGAAGTTACCAGCCAATAACAACAGCCACTAAGAAATTCATCAAAGGACTGAAAGTACTCAGGTGGAATATTTTTTGTCAATTAATAATTAATACTTAAAGAATCAATCCAACACTTAATTACTTAATAAGACAAATACTTGAAGGGGAAATATACTGATAGAAACTCTATTCTTTTTCATGTCCATTTTCCCAGAAAGAACGAGGGCGCTTTTGATTGGTATTCGGCAGGAATCTGGGCGCACTTGAAAAGTGAAAATTTCATTGATCTGTCACATGAAATTTTAACATTCTTTGTACCAATAACCAGTCAACAAGAATTAAGCTGAGTAATAGCTTACCTTCAGTTTTCAATACTAAGAGTAAGAAAATTTCAGGTTAGCTAATTGGGCCTGTGATGTTCCTGAGACCCGCCAAAGAGCTTAAAAGGAATTCTCCCAGAAGTAAACTATTCCAAACTGTTTGTTTTTTCTTTAGTGGTCAAAGATGATAAAAATTCTTTTTTAGTTTTTTTTTGTTTTAAAACTGCATGATTTTCCTAATGCAGGTGATCTTAACTGCCTTCGAGTATTTGTTTAATTGAATAATTAAGTCTATCATTAATTGTTAATCAATTGTCTAAAATAAGCATAAATACATTATTGCATCAGAGTACTACTAGTCCTTTGATGAATTTTCTTATTGGCTGCTTGCATCTGACTTTGTAGTACATTGATTTGTTAGCATAGTAAAGCTTCTGTACTACATATAAAATAAAGCAGACTTAATGATATAAAGAATAGACTACATAATATATAAAGTGGACTTAATGATATAAAGAATAGACTACATAATATATAAAGTGGACTTAATGATATATAGAATACACTACATAATATATAAAGTGGACTTAATGATATAAAGAATAGACTACATAATATATCAAGTGGACTTAATGATATAAAGAATAGACTACATATTATATAAAGTGGACTTAATGATTTAAAGAATAGACTACGTATTATATAAGGTGGACTTCATGATGATATAAAGGATAGACTACATAATATATAAAGTGGACTTAATGATTTAAAGAATAGACTGCTTATTATATAAAGCGGACTTAATGATATGAAGAATTGACGAATATTATATAAAGTGGACTTAATGATATAAAGAATAGACTACATAATATGTAAAGTGGGATTAATGATATAAAGAAAAGACTGCATATTATATAATGTGGACTTAATGATATAAAGGATAGCCTTAATGTTATATCGAATTGACACTATGATGCATATTTTATACCCTTAAGACAGCTGTGGCGTTCCATAGGAATTCCTACTGAAATCCGCATTCTAGATCCCGAATTCTTATTGGCTGTTCCAAAATAAAAACGATCAAGGTCAGTAAACATGGCGGATAAATTCAAGTTGTGATGTTGACATACACGAAAAATAACCGATATATGAATCGTTCTGTATATTTTTGGATCGATTTATGTCTTGCATAACTACAATTTTGGAGTTCAGGTAAGAAATGTTAGTAAAATAGCCATTTACTGACAATTTGAGCCGAAATCTGTGCGGGAGTGAATCACTCCCGCACTTGCACCATTACGGAGATCCTAAGGAGTTGTAGCCCCCCCCCCCCCAAAAAAAGGGGAGAGGGCTACATTATTGCAGCTAATCCACAAAGCAGCGTTGATTTCTCAACTATACCACATGTATTATTTATTTGCATTATATTATATACCGCAAAATAACATGTATTTGGGGGCAGGCACGCCCCTGTCCGGCGTTTCCTACGGGCCTGTTATATATGTATACATTTTTGATTTGTTTATAACAAAACAAAATTTGGAGAATACTGATGCTACTTCACCTGTTTTATTTTCTCGCCTTTCTGTCAGGTGTGACGATACTTGTGTCCACGAGTTGTGGGACATTAGTTGGGGGTTTTCTGACCACATATAAGAAGCTCCACCCCTACACGTGCATCAAACTGGTGGGCGCCATTAATCTGTTCTCCATCATCGTTCACGGACTGGGATTCGTTCTGGGATGTCAGAACCCTGCCATTGTTGGGTACGTGCATGCCTTTTTATCAAATAAATTCAATCATTCATCATAACGCGATCTGTATGAATATCTGGCCAGGTATATTGATATTTTATAATGCTTGTACAGATATGTGTTGTGTGTGTTTGTGAGAATGAAAGAGAGAGATAGAATTACTTATTAAGTAAAAAATCTTTTTTCACGCCCACAATAACGAAATAGAGAGTGTAGGGCAACCTGCAACAAGCACAAAAAATGTAAACAGACCAGACTCGAAAATCCTATTCGGAGGTAGGTAAGGGGAGGGGAGATTGGACCTTTCTCTAAAATTTTTAAAGTTTTTTTTTCATCAATTCTTGAATTAGCCAGTATTTGACTTTACAGCAAAAAAGGTGTATATGTGTGTGGGGGTGGGGGGTGGGGGTAGCTGCAATAATGTAGCCCTCTCCGATTTTTTTTAATCTGATATTTTCAGGAGAGGGCTACAATTCCACTGCATCTCCGTAATGGTGCAAATATATTTTTTTGATACGGACGACTGCAGGCAAAATAAATTGTTTTGCATACAACTTACTTCCAATAAGACGGAATTTTTATTCACTATCAACATCATAGCCCTTTATACGCGAAAACCAAGTAAATAAATCTGCGTGTTTACCAGTCGTTCTCCTCAGCAGCCATAAGAGTTCTCGCGTGATGTACTGAGACTTGTGCTTGAATTTCAGAATCACTTGATAATTCGCAAATGTCGGTGTTGATAAATGATTGTGTTGTATGGTATCACTAAACTTAGATAAATAAAGGCATTCCATGTGACATTTTTTTTCATAAACAGTAATATTTCTGCTTAAAATAAGGGAAATCAGATCCGCTCCCCTTGATCCCGAATTTTCATTGGTTGCCCCAAAATAAGATCGATCAAGGTAAGTAAACATGGCGGATAAATTCAAGTTGTGATGTTGACATACACGAAAAATAAACGATATACAGATTGTTCTGTATATTTTTGGATCAATTCATGTCTTGCATAACTACATTTTATGAGTTCAGGTAAGATATGTTTATAAAATACCCACTTACTGATAATTTGAACCGGAATCTTTGCGGTAGTGAATCACCGCAGGCACTTGTTTCTGTAATAAATTTTTGACCCATAGTATAGTAATAACACTATTATAGTATGGGTCAAAAATTTATAACAGAAACAAGTGCCAAGTGCCTGTGTGAATCACTTCCGCACTTGCACCATTACGGAGATCCTAAGGAGTTGTAGCCCCCCCCCCCCCCCCCCCCAAAAAAAAAAAGTCGGAGAGGGCTGCATTATTGCAGCTTAGGTTGGAGGGGCGGGGCAGCATTTCAATGAAAGTTTCCATTATTAAACCACAGCATAAGACTACATATACTTAAAAAAGGTGCGGGCGTACTACGGGCCAGTATTTTTGGGTTAATTGAAGTAAAAATTATGTTGTAGGCTTGACAATGCAGTGAGCAATTCCACTTGCTTGAATGCCTGTAACTGTGACAGTAAGGAATACCTTCCAGTCTGTGGTTCGGATAATAGGAATTACCTGACGCCCTGTCATGCTGGATGCGGACAGAATATTCAAGGACCTGAGGGCTTTGTAGGTGTATCCAAAAAAAAAAAAATCAAACCAAAGCTAAAACAAAACAATTATAAAGATTGCGAGACAAAATTAACTGTAAATTTGTAGAGTGTATAACTAAAGGGATTGAAGATTTTGCATTTGGAAACTCATTATAATCTCAAAGAAAACCAAAATTTTATATCAAAGATTGATGCATTTTCAACAACGACTGATTTTTAACTTTAATATAATATCGCAAAGAATAAAATTAAAATATCTGGAATGGGGAGCGGGTAGACTCAAACTCTTCTGATTTACCTTTGCTAGATCGGCCCTCGGATGCTGCTTGTTTTTTTTTTTTAAATCAATCCAAAATGTAATATTGCTCGGATGTAAATACTTTTTTTTATTGAAATCCTGAATCTTTGAATGGACATTTTTCTTGAAAGATTTAAATAACAGAGAAGTTGTTAATTCAATATCTTAACTTATACATGTAGTAACTCGACTTCAAACGTTTCATTTTAGATCTACACAAACTGCACATGTATCGAGGGAGGAGGAACGGCCACCCCCGGGTTGTGTAAGACCGACTGTGAAATGTTTTGGCCTTTCTTGATTGTCAACACCGTCTCCTCATTAATCGTCTCTGTCTGCATCGTTCCCGGTATTATGTTCAGTGTCAGGTTAGTTTATCTGTCTCCTTTACTGTACTGTGTACAGTATTATGTAATTAAATGGAACCGTCATTGTAAGTGAATACATTAAACCTCAGTTTAAAATTTTTATTTTAATGTATTTTAAAAATTCAATATTGATATTGAAATTTTCTGGGGAAAAACTTTCCCACCTACCTACCGACCCAAATTTTATTAACCTGAATTAGAAAAGGGCAAACAAATATTTTTTAAAAGATGGTGTAGTGTAAGCCATCTGTTGCGATTCACCTCTGTCATAGTGCCATAAAACGCGAGGGACACTCAAACGTTTACAGTATTCTCTTCTTTATATAGTGAACAGTCTGCCCTTTTACTGTAAATCCTGATTGTTATGACCATCATATTGTCACTATAGAGAAAGCTGCCAGGGTCTTTCAAAAGCTTGTACATGTACCTTCACTATAGTTTCCTATTAACTATTGAATAGATTTGAATTTGCACTTCTTAGGGAGAACTGAGATTGGCCATTTGTATATTACTTGAGGAATTAAACCTTCCACTTCTATATGAGAACAATTTGAATATTTTCAAATGAAACTTTAAAGCCCTTTCCTGGTCCTATACTAGTCTATGGATCAACTGATGTCTTTAATAAGGTTTTAGACATATAATACATGAAACGACTACATGAAATTAGAATACTGCTTTTCTATTGAAGAACTTGTAAAACCTGATTGCTTTTAGGGGCCATGTCTTGAAAAAGTGCACTGCATTGCATTGAGATGCCTTCATTTTAATTTAGCAAATTACATGTATGTTATTCTCAACCTACTAAGAATTTCAAATTCAACTGCCCAAACTAAAAATAAGACATTACTTTTTCTTGGTTTTAAAATTCATGCATAAAAGTTCTGTTCTTTGCTTAATACAGGTGTGTGTCAGATGAGGATAAATCGGTCGCTATTGGAGTATCCTCCCTCTTTCAGACAACTTTTGGTAAGTACCTGTACCTCTTGGTTTCTTCGGCAACAAGAAAGGAAACTTGAAATAGCTTAACTTAAAATAATTCATAAAAATAAAGGTAATTTTTCAGGACCTTGAAGCATATTTATATACAACAAATACCGTAGGTTATTAAAAAAGTATTTAAAAGAGAGAGAGAGAGAGAGAGAGACTGTTTTATTTTTCATATGCATGTATTTTTTTCTGCAGTGAATGAGATGATTTATGAACAACTGTTTGAGAATGAGTAATAAGCATAAGTATTTCGCTTTTGAATGTGCGTTTTTAAATTGTTTTCCATTTATTTTAAGGATGGATGATAGGACCAGTTATAACCGGTAAAATCATCGACACCTGTTGCAAACTCTGGAGCTCAAGTTGTTATGGAAAGGGCGCATGCGCATTATACGACATAGAAGACTTCCGCTTTAAAAAGTACACTGTTGAAATTATCGCTAAATGTATTGTGGTTATGTTTTATGGGGTTGTTATATGGATTTCTAGAAACAGAACAGACTGGAGTACGGAGGATGAAGAGAAAAATGACGTTCCAGAAAAAGAAGAACTGATGAACGGAAGTGAGAAAACTAAAGTGAAATTCGAAATTAGTGATCCGATCGTGAAAAACAGAAAATCATAAGTCTTAGAATACATGTAGTTTACCCTCATCCAGCTCATCATTTTAGACTTCATTTTTCAAAAAGTTATATGTATTACCAAATGTATACATCTGGCGGAATTATGCTAAGTTTACCAAAGAGACTTTGTTATCAAGAGATTACGGAACTAGTAGGGAAGTAGAAAATGGAATATAAGTTAGAGATAAATGGAATGTAAGTTAGAGATAAATGTTACATTAACGATTATACAGATACATGTAGAACCAAGTTCCTAGGAGCTATTTTCGATTAAATATAAGTATTAAGTATATTTTTTGAAGAAATAAATACTACTGTATTTACAGTACTTAATAATCTACATCAGGGAAGGAGGTTTCTTACCTGTTGAAGGATATATTTCTGGTCTTTTTTTTAATTCTCTAAGTGCATCGCATAATTTTGACCTGACAAAAAAAAATCATTAGGAAGAAGGGAGGGTACAGCCTCATAAAAATTCCTAGACAAGCAGAAAATGGTCCAAGACGTTATTATTGAGGAGTAACAGTCGTAAATTTTCCCTTTTGTTCGATGTAGGATATGTAATTACAAACTGAAAATAAGATTTATTTTCTGCTTTTAATTGTGCTGGCAAAATTATTGGGAGGGGGAGGCGGTTCCAACGTACGTGCCCCTAGATATTAATGATAATAGGGTTCAAAGTGTGAAACTCGGAGAAACTTTATGTGTAAGAGTAAAACATGTTCGTCAATAGTCATGACAAAATTTTATGTATATTTTGTTATGCTATACATATAGCTACTTTTATGCATGATACTAAATCGGGTGTACATACTGTCTTGTATTTTTATACTTGAATGAAATGATTTCACAAAATTATATAAAGAATTATTTTATAAAGTATTTTTATACCAAAGATTATTTTTATTAAAAAGGCAAAAACAAAATAAATTGCTTTCTTTCATTGGGCGAGGAATAATGTGGAATATCGCTTAGAAGATACTACAGTTTACGTTGCCATATGAAACATTTCTTTCAATCATGGCTTACTCCTTAATGAGATAGATAAGTGTCACATGGTCAAACTGACTATCTCCAAAAATCACGAACTTAGCTAACTTTAAGGAAACAAATTTATTTACAAAAAAATATAATAATCATAAAAACGAAGACTTCAAATAAACAAAATACTCTGAATCACACACTCTTCCACATTATTTAATAAGCATACACAAAAAAAAAAAAAAAAAAACAAAAAAAAAAAAACAATTATTGGTAACCAATTAAATAGGTAAACAATTAACCCCAGGTATACATTTCACTAAATTCAATAATGAATGCCAAACATGTCCCCAGATCAATGATTATCGTCGTCATCATCATCAACATCATTCTCATCTTCGATGTAATCATATCAGGTTTACCAACAAGCTAAGAAAACGCTTCTTGGATAGACTTACCTGTCTTCGTCGGGTATAGATATACACAGTCCAGGGATGGGCACGATTACTGAAAAATGTAATCGATTAATAATCGATTACTTAGAGGAATTTTGTGTAATCGATTATTAATCGATTACACTCATTTTTGTCCTGTAATCGATTGTAATCGATTACTTTGGAAGATGTAATCGATTAATAATCGATTACTTCCAAGTTTTTATCCCTTCAAATATCAAAGCAATATTTAAATGGTAATGTTGATGATATCCTGAAGTTTGAATGTGTTCCTGCAGTTTCAGTGCAGATTCTTTTAAGGTTTTATTCTGGCTAACATTCTCACTAAATGCCCCTACCATGGAAAGTGGAGACATGATAATTCCTACAATAAAATATGCCAAGGAATTATTCCTTTCAACCTTGGATCTGAACCCCATATTTATTGACTTGTTGCAAAAATTATTTAATATTTTATTGTGAATTACTTCATTAGAACTATTTGGGCTGCCCGTATGTTAACAGTACACATTAAACATTCCTGTACGAGTCTTCTTTCAAAAAATAAGTAAATTAGAACTCTTAGTAATAAACATGTAAATTAAATGTGTCTTTAAGTAATTAAACTAATAGCACTATTTCATTCTGTATTGAAATGTGTTTTGAGAGCTATTAATTGTTTTATTAATATTGTTTGTCTTCAATGGAACTATGAATTATAAAAGTTAAACACTAGGTAGTTCACAGTTTACACTTCATTATCTGCAAATCAGGGATGTCTCAGTCAATTAATTAGTCAATTAAGATAAACAAACACAGTGACGTGTTCACTCTCTCTCTTACGGATACTTGTAACCTCTCACTGATATAAAAGCAACCTTACAATTTTGAATGAAAACATGAGACAGAATGATTTTGCAAATTTTAAAAGTTACTAAAACACAAGTTTGAAGTTTGAAGGTCTATAATGCTAATTTTATTGAGAACATTATTAAACTTATGATAATAAAAGTTAGGTAATCCAAACATTACACTACATGGTTTATATTTGATATTTATGTGTGACTGACTGGAATTAATTCTCCAAACTAACATCCATTTATGTATAAAATAATCGAAAGTAATCGAAAAAGTAATTATAATTACATTGAAAATTTTAGCTGTAATCGATTAAATTACGATTACAAGTAATCGAAAATCTCTTCGATTACAGATTACTGTCTATTACTTGCAAAAAAAAAAGTAATCATTACAATCGATTACGATTACTCGATTACGATTACCCCATCCTTGACACAGCCTCCTTCCGGGCCTTAGTCCTGGAAACAAGTGATAAAATCCTACAGACAATACGCGAAAGACAGACGAACAAAGTTTAAACAGACGCAGGACACATTGATTTGAAAACAAATAACAAAATTCGAAGACTTAAATCCGTTTCTTTGTACTTTAAATGACAAGGAACCGTCACGTTAGCACATTCAGCGGACCGCTCGCTCTGTGATCGAAAGGTCGTGGGTTCGAGCCCCGGTCGCGTCTGACCTAAGTCGATGAAAACTAGGAACATGTAGCAACTGTTCCTTTGCCAGGCGCTCGGCACTTTGAAATGAAAGTTGCGGGTCATTCGGACGAGACCTTAGAAATAAGGGCCCAGTGTCACGACAGGCCTTGGTACGATATAAAGATCCCTCACTGCTAAAAGGCCAGGAGTACCGAGTAAAGGTATAATTTTTGAAGCCTTTCATCGGTATATGGTGATGTCCCTATATGAGTGAAAAATTCTGGAAAAGGGACGTTAAATAACATAAAACAATCAATCAAGGATCCTGTTAAAGCTGCTAATTAAATGCAAGATTTTATTTTTCACTTTCTAATTGAAGTTTAATTAAAATAAACATGCAAACATGATCACAAAATTACATGTTCATATAGTTACATACATTTAAACTTATGCAAATGGATAGTGGACCTAGGGACCGTAGTTGATCAAATCAAATCAACAAAAAAGGGGGATCCAACACTCGGCAGCAACAGACATCCCAAACACCACTATTAATAGCAAAGCGGGGGTTACGGATTCATAAATCCTGAGGGTTACTACAGTCAGTCTATGAAAAAAATACCCAAGTAAGATTTTTATATGTCAGGGATGAGGAAGTTCGATGCAGTGGTCTTCTCGCTTCACCTGCTAAAGAAACTAACTAGGGAAATCCTAGTTAGTTTCTTTTCTTTTTTAAGAGTGTAAAAAAAAAAAAGACGATATAACGTATTAGTCAGTTTCAGTATTAAAGTAAATGTATATTAAAGCTTACCCAGAAGTGAATTCTGGAACAAAATTATGATAATAGAAAATAAAAAATAATCCTTACATTAAAAAAATTTATGTTTCAAAATTTATATATATAAGTAGGGAGGGGATTAGTTACCTCCATCCCCCTTATCATCCCATTGATTCGCCGATGGATACATTTACAAAGAAGACAGTACCAAAGTACCTATAGTGCTTTCCTTTCTATTTTCATTTTTTCTACTGTATTCGTTTTTTTTTGTTTTGTTTTGTTTTTTTTTTTGTTGTTGTTTTTTTTTTGTTATCAGGACAAACTTGAAACCTACTTCAATTCGGATTGTAACAAAATTGATTAAATCAAAAGTACAGGGTTTAATACATAAATAAACAGGGTCCAGGAAGTATATATCCTGACAGGTATTTGACATGTATTTATGTATCATATCATATGATCAAGGTACACAGAGACAAATAAACTATGTTTAGATTAATGTAATAAATTGGATCGATAGGAAAGTGACCATTACAGGTAATATTTTTATGTTACAATAGGTAATATTTTGAAAATTTCCTTAACTGTTCTACTTAAATACATGGATAATTCAAATCTTTTAACAAAAACGTTTTGGAACACCATTTTAAAAATAAAACTTGACTTGAAAAACGTCTTGTTACAAGGAATACATGTGTGAAATATAAGAGCCCTGGTACATGTATCAACCATTCAGCAAACATGGAAAAAAAATTAAAGTTTATTCAAAAAGAAGATAATATTCCAATGTCAATGTCATTTAAAAAATAACAGTACTAATTTGAAAGGAAAGGTCATGTCACAAGAAATGCGTAAGTGAAAAATAAAGCCCTTGAAGCAACCCTTCAAAAGTTATTTGTATGGCCTCGTCAATTTTTTTCAAATGTAGGTCAAAATACAAGATCAATGTCATGAGGTCAAAAATGTTGGTACCCAAAGAAAGGTCTTGTCAAAAAGAAATACACGTGATATATAAAACTCTTAGACCCGCCATTCAAAAGTTATGGCCAAATTAAAAGTTTTTTAAAAGTTGTTTAAGATCAAAGGTCAAAGTCGAAGGGTAAAAAATGTTCGACCCCCCAAAATCTCTGATCACGTTCATCTGAAATATTTAAGCCCTAGATCTAACTGTTCAAAAGTTATGCAAAGGTGAAAGTTATGTAGAATTTTGCAAAAGTACGTCAAACTCTAACATCAAGTCAAGAGGTCACATATTTCGGTACCAATAGAATTGGTTTGGCACAACAAATACAAATATTGAATATGAAAGCCTCGGCATTAACCATTTAAAAGTTATGGACAATGTTAAAGTATTAGTAGACAAACAAACTTACAGATTAACAGATAAACAGACAGACAGACCAAAAACTCTATGCCCCCAAACCTTTTCAATTACAGTGGCAAAATAAGATAAAGCTTTGAATATAGGATCTCAAATTTGTACTGAGACTATTTTGAGTTCAGTATAAAACTTACATGAAACAATCTCTGCAGTTGAAAGTGATTCCTTTTTCAAGGGTACGATAGTCTTTTTGCTTGTGTATTTTTAAAAAGAAAAATAGTATGAGAGACAGAAATGCCTTGTCAATTGTGAGTCAAATAAATTGGTCACGCTGTTATTTGAATACGAACATGATTACTGTTCGAAATGTTACACAACTAACGTCTTCCGTAGACTTACATTTCAAATGTATATACTCTTTAGACTATAATCCATATTTTATACTTTAGAGACAAACGCTTCATAATGGACCCCCGTACCAGTGCTCAGGACGTGATGCGATGTGACCTGTGTGAGACCGCTTTGGTACAGATGCACTGTGATACATGTCTTGACAATTTATGTACAGCTTGTGTGGGAGTTCATTTTTCTGCTGATCTCTCTATACAGCATAAAGTTGTATACTTCAAGGATAGAAAATTTACTCACATTTACCTTGTATGTAAAACTCATAATAATAAAGAGCAATGTCAAATGTACTGTGATCGTTGTAACATTCCTGTTTGTAACAAATGCCTTGCATCCAATCAACACCAGGGTCATAAATTATCAAAAATATTGCAAATTCTGAGTAAAAAGAAAGTAGAGCTCATCAAGTATCAAACTGAATTAAAAGATACAATCTATCCAACCTACCAGGACATTGTTTCTGATATAGTAAACAGAATGAGTCAGTTAGAAAAGGAATATGGAGATCTCTCAACAGCCATAACAAAACATGGAGAGGACTGGCACAGAGAAATTCACAAAATTGTCAAGAAACTTAAAAATGAAGTTGATGAGATGAACCACACACAGTCAAAGACTCTCCAGAAACATCTGAAAGAAATAAAGCAGAAAATGATAAATATCAAAGAAAAAATCGAACTAGTTGATGTTGCTGTCGATTCGCCTTATGTACACTGTAAAAATTGTGTTTAGGAAATAAACACTTCTATTACATGTTTAGATCTAAACGTGTATAGTATTGTGTTTAACAACTAAACACTTATGTCTTAACATGTTTTATATCTAAACGCGTTTAGAAATTAAACACGTTTTACTGTAAAGTGCAGAGTTATCTTCCCGGAAATGACACACATATATTTGAACGTTAATTTGAGCGGCTATGTAAACAAAGAAAATGCAACAAGCTAAGGTGATGTATCAATGAGAGTTATGACAATCCAATTCAAGGGATAACCATGACGAAATAGTGAAATACGTGAAAGAGCATCTTGTTGCTGCAATACATTAAAGGTTTGTTTTCTTCTTCTTTGCATTAATTAACCACGATGAGCAACGTAAATAAAGTTGACTTGGGATATCTTGAATTCGTTCATAGACTTGCAGGAGAAGAAATAATATTAAATGTCATTAAAAACATCTATATTTATATCTGTGTAGTTTCACTAAAATTTGAACAATTTTGTTTTTCTAAGTAATGTAAAATATCAGTGATATTGTACTTTTTCTAAAATCTGGCTTTCTTTCCTACAGGAACTGTAGTCCAGATCGAACTCAAAATACACGTATCAGAGTACCTGGTGTCATCTTCAAGTGCAATGTTGTTGTTCCATAATCAACACTTTGAAACTTCGTTTGTTGAAGACTACTGTGTTAATTCGACAGTGTTTACAATTATTCTCGTGCATTCGAAATGGGTTACTTTCTGGCAGTTATTGATGAGATATAGATTATAATATGTGGTGCTCTGGGACTTGCTGAAAGTTAATAAAATTTGGTACGTTGTGATTGACATGAGGAAAACTCTGCAGCCGATTCAAAATATAATGATTATAATAAATATATACATAAATAAATTTTTGTATTTTTAGTTTAACAATTCTTTAATAAAGTCTTTTAGAAATATTCAATGAAGTTTTGATATTAAATTGTCAGCTTAATATTATTTTCTTAATAATTTTGAAGATTAAAAGTTTGTTATCTATGTGTACGTTATAAATTATGTGTCATTCTGATTGAATTGTTGAGACTAATCAAATCTATTCAGTTCTATCTCCTACATTATTTATGTAAATTAAGTACATGTACATTACACAGTGACCATTGCATTGTATAATTAAATACATATCCCAACGTTCAGTGGCTTTATGGAAAATAATTATTTTGAAAATTTTGACAATTATGCGCATTTAAAAAACATATACTTTTTGTGCCTAAATTTACAAGAGTGTTTTGTTTTTCTGCAGGTACAAATTAAACTTATGATGTGTTTAGACTTTAAACACATCTGCTGTTATGTGTTTAGAATTTAAACACTTGTGTTTATGTTGTTTAGATATGTTTAATTTCTAAGCACACGAGTGTTTAAATTCTAAACACTTTCTAAGACATGTTTAGGAATTTTACATGTTTAGAAATTAAACATATAAAAAAGGAGGTGACAAGAAAGTGTTTAGAAAAGTGTTTGAATTGTAAACACATTTTTTACAGTGTATCCAAATTATTTAGCGTAACATGTAATCCAGAAGAGTTAAAGCAGCTACCGCCTAAAATAGTGTTTTCTTTACCTAAATTCACAGCAGGAAAAATAAATAGAGAGCAACTTCCTGTGTTGTTTGGAGTTTTATCATCAATTTCTTTATTCCAAGAAAAGAATGGTTACAACATTCAGACATCACCAGAAGCTGGGTCCTTTCCTCCAGTCAAACAGCCGATTGATGTACCGGCGATTGTCACTACCATAGATACTGGATATAAATACCTTTACAGTGTGGCCTGTTTGAATGATGAAGAAATCTGGACAAGAGGAAATGACAGCACTATGAAACTTTACAGCATCAACCAGGGAACCCTCGTAAAGTCAATCACAACCAAGTCAGGGAACTGGCCACATGACATAGCTGTGACGAAAAGTGGAGATCTAGTTTATACTGATTACAGGGATAGAACTGTGAACATTGTGAAGAATGAGAAGATAGAGGAGGTGATCAGACTACAGAACTGGAGACCTCACAGTGTCTGTATTACGTCTTCTGGTGACTACCTAGTTAGCATGGACAGTGATGATAACAAACAAACAAAAGTTGTCCGTTACTCTGGCTCCACAGAGAAACAAACCATTCAGTTTGAAGATATAGACAAACCTACCTATTTCTCTGAAACAAGATACATAACACAGAACAGGAACCTGGATATCTGTGTGTCTGACAGTGGAGCAGTAGTGGTGGTCGATCAAGTCGGAAAGCTGAGATTCAGGTACATTGGACATACTCCAGCTCCAAAGAAAAAACCATTCAGTCCACGAGGAATCACCACAGACAGTCAGAGTCACAGCCTTACAGCTGATGATAACAATGACTGCGTTCATATCATAGACCAGAATGGACAGTTCCTCCATTACATAGACTGTGGTATGAAAATTTTCTATGGACTTTGTACTGACAAAAATTACAATTTGTTTTTTGTTCAGAAGATGGGCAAAAAAGTGAAGAAAATCAGATACCAGACGCGAAATCCCTCGTATGCTCTGTAATGGAGTTTTTATTTTGAAGTCTTTCTGAACATTGTAAGGATTTGTTACGTAGCACAACTTTTTTGTTAATTGTATTTAATTTAAACTGATTATGCATTGAAATCAAATGTATCTCACTGATGATATTTTAAGCTGTCACACTTAGATTATACAAGGATGTATGCTAAGATTAACCCGTTCGTTTATCAATTGTTTATATCCAAACGAAAATTATACGGAAGTTGTCAGGTTCACATCTATGGACAGTTGATACATGAAAGTAATTTTTATGTTACAGAAAAATATAATCATATCATCCTATATTTTCGAATGGCAGTGTCAGTGTATTATATCGTATGTTAGTGGCAACAAACAAACCAAACCAAACCAAACCAAAAACAAAAAAAAAAAAAAAACAAAAAAAAAACAAAACAAAAAAAACACGTTTCATTTGTCCCGTAGATATTCTTTGCACCAATTATCCCCTTTCTCATCCTGTTTTTAAATGAGCATTTTTTTCTCATAATGAGCTACTCATCAAAATTGTTTTTGAAACCAGTCCGGTTCTGATTAGTGTTTCCAGATATGTCAAAAGACGACAGGGAGCAGAAAGATGACCTTATATATGGTAACTACAGGGAAATCATCATATACTGTTAACTAAGAAATGAATCTAGTAATTTAAATACTCATCTGTTTAATCAACATTTAAGAGAAACAACATCTGGTACTAGGTGCGTTTTTTTTTTTTCATTGAGAACAATTATCACTCTTTCTAAGGCTGCCCTCCAAAAAAGTCAAAGAATGATACTTTTTGAGAATTATCGGAATACACCACAATTAGAAAACCTCTTTTGATGATATCTTGCATTCCTTACTGTTTGGCGATAGGCAATTACCTGATTAAACTAATTGGTCAATTTTTTAAGCAGTCCAAGTATTTTCCTATCATTTCACTTTGCGTCGCAGTATTTTCATATATATATATATATATATATATATATATATATATATATATATATATATATATATATATATGTATATATATATATATATATATATACGTACTTGACGTGGTTTGCGGGTCATGTCACATAAACATGGTTTATGGGACCCTGCATTTGTAATAGGCTTATTTCAAAAGGAAACACATTTTTAAGAATAGTTTTTGATGTAGATCCCAAATATAGAAAAATTATAAAGTTTTCTCATATTTGGTTTCAAAGCTATAGATAACGTTGTGGGTCATTACATTGTGGGTATGAGTCCCACAGCGATCTATAGTAGATAATTATATATAACATACTTGTGGGTAGGGACCCACAAACCATATCATAGCAATATATATATATATTCTTTGTGGGAGATATCCCACAAACCATGTATGGATTCAAAAACAATTATATATAGCATACAATTGAATATGATTTGTATCGGAGCTCAAAAAAACACATATCATTTTATCAGACTAGTATATAGGTTTTTTCTTTGAGGTAAATTTTCATCAAAGCACCTGTGAGGACTAGAGGTGTTTCCTAAGGGGTAAAGTGCAGCATACTTGTGGGTAGGGACCCACAAACCATACCATAGAAATATATATATATATATATATATATATATATATTCTTTGTGGGAGATACCCCACAAACCATGTATGGATGCAAAAACAGCTATATATAGCAAACAATTGAATATGATTTGTATTGGGACTCAAAAAACACATATCATTTTATCAGACTAGTATATAGGTTTTTTTCTTTGAGGTAAATTTTCATCAAAGCACCTGTGAGAACTAAAGGTGTTTCTTAAGGGGTAAAGTGCAGCATACTTGTGGGTAGGGACCCACAAACCATATCATAGCAATATGGGGGAGATATCCCACAAACCATGTATGGATGCAAAAACAGTTATATATAGCATACAATTGAATATGATTTGTAAAGGAGCTTTAAAAACACATATCATTTTATCAGACTAGTGTATTTTTTTTTTCTTTGAGGTAAATTTCCATCAAATACTTGTGAGAACTAGAGCTGTCTCCTAAGTGGAAAAGTGCATCCTGTGGGACATACTCAAAGAGAATGCAGATTTGTACAAATGCATTAAACAGAACATCCAGGGATGTGCTAAGGAAGTTTGCTTTGTAAACTCCTTGTGATAAGACAAAATTGAAACTGTTCTTAATGAATCACGGAAGCATGAAATGTAGGCCAGATGAAGCATGCAAAGCACCCATTGAAATGATCATAGATATGTAGATACACCTCAGGAGGAAGTTTGGTTTGTGTACCCCTTTTTATAAACTGAAAACAGACCAAAAAGTTGGCCTGATCTGTAAAACGTCTTTTAAAATATATGCATCGTATATCTTAAGATTGGTTTGCAAATCTCAAAAGATAAGCTGGTAACAGACCACTTTCCTTAACTGAAATTATTGACGCCTGGTCAAACGCAGCATAAAAAGTGGGAGAACATTTCATAGTCATATATGTGTAGTAATATATAAGCCTAAAAGAAACCCTATAGAATCACAGGTTCCTTCCAACTTCAACTATTTAGACCTGACATTAAGTGCTAATCTGTCATTTGTCTCCTTTAACATTTCTAAATTGTCTGGAGATTAAGATATCGTTTTAGATTTAGAAAGTATGGTGGGTTATTACAAGAAAAATAATACCAAATTTACCTTATATGGTTAGTTAAGAGAACACACGAATAGCAATTGACTGAACTTTACATGATTATAGATGCTGTCGATGGAAATTCAGGTCTTTTTACAATATATTATTTTAGATTAAGAAATTACATGCTATAACAAGTAAAACAACACCATATTTACCATGTTTCAATGAAAAATAAGAGAAAAAGTTATGGTCAATTACGAGAATACAACCATATGGATTGATTGACCCTAAGATGATGATTGTTGGATCCATGCTTTCTATGAAAATTCAAGTTCTCATTAAATATCAGAAGCTCTATTTTTCTAAATCAGTAGCATTAAGAAATTTAGTTTGATTATTCAGGCCTGTAAATACATATTAAAAATTAAATTTAACAAGGACACCGCAAAGAGGAGCATCCCTCGCAAAGAGCTTCTCTATAAATGCAAGGGAGCATTCGAAATCGATCCCGATGCAAATTACGTCACTTCCGTTTCGCATAGGACATAACCCACACACGATCGATTGCGTTACTATATCCCTCCAACTCCGTTGCGAGGGGATAATCAGATTTGCAAGGTGTGTACCAAAGCTATTAGAGGTATCCCTCATCTTCCTCTATCGCTCAAATGCAATATGGCTCAGATATTTTTATATACATGATTTAACTCGTCTTTTATACATTTCCAAGTTGCATATTATCCCAAAATCACATTTAAATTTCCAAAACATAAACATTTTGGTTCTGAAAAGGAAAATGCCAATTTTACTTCAACTGAATGGAGTATGTAGCTACAATTGTTAGTCATCTATACCCCACCCCTCTAGATAGCTGATGATAATTCAGATCATGTTATATATGCAGAAATATTAATTTGACTTTTCTAAACAAAATGAGGATGGATCATTTACTTTTTTCATTCTTTAAGGTGTTGGACCAAGACTTTTTTAAAATCAATAATTATTATTTTTTGCACTGGTCCCACCCTGGTGATAAATATTGCCTGGACCCTGAGTTCGAAGGTCAGGGGCATACTGATTTTGTCATGTCTGTTATTTTTCATAAATTTAATCTTTCCTACATTTTTATGAGAAGAACAATAAAGAAATTTGAAAAGATCTTTATGAGATCTAATTTCCTTAGCAATCGCCCATTTGTTTCATGAAGTTTTATTTCGGTAGGGTCCAAATGTTAACGTTAACCTTTCTTATAACATCTGAAAAAAAAGGTTTGAGACTTTATTTTGGATTTTTGGCTTTTTGCACATTATTTACCCAGACCTAAATCAAAGAGGATTACAATTATGGAAACTATACATTCTCTATTTAATAGGTTTCTCTTTTTGACACCAACTAAGAAAATTATCTTGATTTTTTAAATAATGACAACTGTGAAAACTTATTTATAATATGTGATAAAACGAACCTAAGAATGCACAAACTCTTGCTCTAATAGTCACAGAACATGTTTTCCTTTAATGAGGATAAAACTTTTGTATCAAAGATGAAAGATACATGTATAGTACAATAGTATAGTACCTTTTAATTTTTGTTACTTAAACTTTAAAACTTTTAGAAATGAACACTTCATATCAAAAGCCAACAATTACCCGGTACTGCTGTTTTACCTCTGCAGACATGCTTATAAAGCTATCCTTAAATTAACGACCACGAGATTAAAAAGACATGTCTATGGTAATTTTAAAAAGCGATGTTGCCAGGAAAACAACTTACAATTATGAAATTAACATTGTCTAATTAAATCCAATATATTTGGTAAAATTTCATTTTCATTAATTGAAGTATTAAAAAATTTATGCATCTAAAGGTTAAAACGTACGAAAGCCGGATAGGCTCATTTTTGATAAGACAAAAAAAATTAGCTCGTTATAACGAGATAATTATCTCGTAATAACGAGCTAGTATCTCGTTAAAACTAGTTAGTATCTCGTTATAACGAGTTAGTTATCTCGTTGTAACAAGATAATTATCTCGTTATAACGAGTTAGTTTTCTCGTTATAACCAGTTATTATCCCGTTATAACGAGTTGGTATCTCGTTATAACGAGTTAGTATCTCGTTATAACGGGTAAGTTATCTCGTTATAACGAGTTAGTTATCTCGTTTTAACGAGTTAGTTTTCTTGTTATAACGAGATGGTTATCTCGTTATAACGAGTAAGTTATCTCGTTATAAAGTGTAAGTTATCTCGTTATAACCAGTTAGTTATCTTGTTATAGCCAGTTGGTTATTTCGTTATAAAGAGTTAGTTATCTCGTTATAACGAGTTAGTTGTCTTGTTATATCGAATTAGTTATCTTGTTATAACGATATAATTATCTGGTTATAACGAGTAAG